AAAAAGCGGTTTTTCGTGTTCACTTTTTAATGTCCATGCTGATGGAGGACTTTGTATAACGAGCTGACCTAAAAACAAAAAATAAGTAAAACTAAATTTTAGTCGCTGCCTTTTTTAGGGAATAAACTTGCTTTATCAGCAAACTGATTTTTTCTGAAGTAAGTGACACAGATGGGTTTACATTACGAAATAAATACGTAAGAAAACGTATAAAAATATACGTCATAATAAAAAATTACGTGAACAAACATGTCAAACGAAATTGTGTCTTTTGAAGACTCCTGTAAAAGTTATAAATAGGTTCCACAGTTGTTTTTTTTTATCGGTATTCTGTCTCTTTATGGTACTATATGAACTGATTATATCAGTTTCTCATTCTCTTCTTGAATTGAAAATTAAAATTCTAAATTTAAATCGATAAAATTGCGTTTCTTTTTTTTTGGAAAGGTTGAAAGTAATATTGAAAGGAAGTACTAAAACTGAAACATCCTCTTTCAAAGAAAGCAACTCCAACATTAAAATTTTAATTGTCTTTGGTCTTGTTTGGAAAGAAATCGAAAGTGATTTGAAGCCAAACAAATCGAGCACCTAATTGTTAGATGTCTTTATAGCTTTTTATATACATTTCTATCACTCGCCGCAGCGTGAGATGATTTTAATTGAATCAAGCTCGATAAAAAGGAGCGAAAACACAGCGGCGGAAAATCTAGTGTGGAGAAGGCTTAATAAAGCTGTACGCAAACATATCAATTACTGACAGTACAATGCGTTTTGCCATGGCCCAATTATGCGACTAATATGGCCAGCTCTCTCCACCCCTCCCCCCTCCTACCCCCCCCTCTCTCTCTATCTACATTTGCACGCTGCTTTTGCGCTCCCCTTTGCCAATTGTTTTTCTTTAAATGAATAAAAAATTCCACCGCCGCATTGACAACTTGAAGATTTATCTATGGCTGCATTGACAGCAATGCGAAGAGTCAGCCGTCAAACCAAATCTAAAAGGGGGCGGGGCTGAGGGGGCAGTTGGTTAGTTTGCCTCCATTGACTACTGTAACTGAGACTGGGCATCTTTGGCACCCTCGCCCCCTCCTCTCTTTCTCTGGCGGCTGAGTCACTTTTTCTTTCTCAACTTGTCGCCTGCCATTTTATCAAACGAATCTGTGGCATTTTTCATTTCATTTGCTTCTGCAGCCAGCCCACACATCTGCGAGCAGTCGGTTTTTTTCAACTGTGCAACTGCAACTTGCAAGAGTCGTCAATGAAAAGTCCACACATATTTTATCTATGAGTTGTGTGTTGCTCTGTGTGTGTTTGTGTGCACTGCAAGAAAAAGAACGGAATTTCATATATAGCAAATGAAAATATGTTAAATGTTGATCAAAGATTTGAATAAAATTTTAAAGAATCTTTGTCATAAGTATGCTCGAATCAAGAACTAAATACTTAATTTATTCTTTTATTTGGATAGTCTATAAAACACTGAGTTTCCTAAATATTAATTTAAGGACAGTTTTACCCAATAATCTATTGTAATCAGATATATTTCTGCTCAGTGTCGCTGAGCATTGTTTTGGAATTGCGTTTGGACTTTCGTTTGGCGTGCTAGTTGCGTCTTCGTCTTAGTTGTTGTCTTTCCTGAAAGTGAATCTCAAATATTTCTTGATTATGTGCAACGATGCTGCATTCAAGATTGGCTGCTACTGCTGCTGCTGATGTTGCTGTTGTTGCACTGCACCCAAAAGGCAAACAGGCGAACAGAATTCGCATATATCGCATATCGCATACATGTCTGCGAGTCAATGCAATGTAACAAGGTCATGTGAGAGAGTTACACACTAACAATGTCGTTTGACTGTTGTTGTTGTTGTTGTTGTCGTCCCCTCTTCTCCCCCGTGCTCCACTCTTTAGTTACTCTTAGTATCTCAGCCAGCATCTTTTGGCTCATTTGCTGTTTGGCTCTGACTTTGGTTTTATATTGCATGCTCCTTTTTTTTTCCTAGTGTTTTTATTTGTTTGTCGTTAGCCAACGCATTTCACTTTCTACTACTGCATTTCGAATGCATTTTTTGTGGCTGCTACTGCTGTTGCTGCTGCTGCTGCGGCGGCTGGTGTTGACGACAAGTGGGCCGAAATCGACAAAATTGTGTTTTCTTCTTGTCGACGACGCTTTGGCTTTTCACTTTCATTAGCGTATTTTGTGCATTTCCTTTTCCACATGCTAATTTTGAACTGACCGTGAAATAAACCTATTCATTTCCAAATAGTCGTCATTTCCCATGCCGTGCACTTGCTTGCCACCTGATATCTGAAGCTGTTGCATTTTCTCACCTATCATCGCACATGTCACCCGACTCGACTTTATTTGACTCAGACACACTCGAGTTACGCTCTCCGAGACACTTCTGACTGCTGCTTCTGTTGATATTGCTTTACCCAGGCAGCCAAAATGTCAAAGTTGTGCTTTGATTTGTTTTCTTTCTTTTTTTTTTTGCATTCTTTTGTTATTTATACAGCTGACAGCACTTGCAACTTGGTTCCGTGTTCTGCTGCAGTCAGCGTTGCGGATCACATTTCAGCATAAATGTGCGCAAAAGCTCAACAAAAATGTTGCATAAACTGGGCAAACTGAAACCAATGGCAAAAAAGAGTGTGAAAAGGAGACTCAAGCTAGAAAGAATGTTAGTAATATGATAACTTCTTGCCATAGTTCTATGTGTGTCTTGTTTTGGTTTGAAGATACATTTTTAAGCACATAAATACTTATGTAAATAATATTTTCTCTCTCGACTGGAGCATTTTAAATCGCTTATAATATTGTTGCTCTTTTTATTACTTACCAATTTCTGTTGAGAGTCTTTTTATTGCTGTCAATATTGGTAATTAATTGTGAAAACCCTCGAATATTTGAATATTTCACACCTGTTTTCCCACACACACACTTGAGACTTATCTGTGCAACGCCAACATATTTTATATTTTATTTTCTTTTGGCCTTTTTTGGCCAATCATTGCCCGCATGTGTCAAATCTTGTATGGCCAATCTTGAAGCGGCGACCTGTTGTGATGTTGATGGACGACAGCAGAAAGTTGAGAATCGTTCGCTGAAAGCTGTTGAAATTAAAATTTCCCCACCTATTCAAGCCAGCTAGTCAGCTAGCCAGCAAGCAGCCAGGCCAGGCCAGGCAGTCGGTCAACTAGCCAGTTAGTCAGTTAGTCAATCAGTTAGCCAGCCTCCCACCATGGGAAAGGGACCCAATTATCGCCCGGAGATGTTGATGTCGACGTCGTCAATTGGCCATTACGATGAGTTGGCCAACAAGCAGCTTTTGGCCAATTGCTGCTTGACCGAACCAAGCTGACGATCGACCAAAAACTTTGACTGCCAGCAATTGTGTGCCCATTTCCGACTTCAACTTGACCATACACAACTAAAGCGAGAGTGCCAAACAGAGACTGTAAGAGAAAGAGACGGAAAGCAAGCGAAAGAGAGAGAGAGAGATATGTTGTTGTTGTTGTGGTGTTTGGCAAAGTAAATCGCCGTTCATTTGTTTTTCAGCGCGTTGTTCGTGCAAAATTTCGCTGGGATTTTTTGTTTTATTGGCCATTTTACAAGTGGGAGACTCTTAAGACTTTGTGTTAGGGTTTGCAAATAAAAATAAAATAACAAAAAGAAATAAATTAAAATTACAAATTACATTTGTATATTTATGTTGCTATTATTACTTTTACGGTTTAATTGATTGTTTAATGTTTACAAATTTTATGTGCTGTACTTAAAGTTTGGCCAGCATTTATTAATTGCTGGTGGTTTTAAGAAAGAAATGCTTGCAAAACTATTACTCAAATCAAAGTGGTTTGAACTTTAAGTTGAAATTGATTTTTTAATGGTTATTTTTTTAATTTTTATATATTTGCCATAATTTGTGTCTTTCATCGAAGAGGATTTCAGCTTCGGTGCGACAAGTTTAGTTTTTCCTTGCTGATATTGTTGTTGTTGCTTTTACAAATTGCTCGTAAATGATATTTTCACAACTTGCGTCCATCGGCTGTGTTGCCCCGCCCCCTGCCCGTCTCTGCCTTTGGATTGTCGTCCTCCTCACTCCTCCCCCCTGAGAAGTGAGAGAGTTCGTCGGGGTTAATATGGTCAATAAATCGTTATGGCGAGTTGTTGCTGATTTCAACCCGCTGATGCTTAATGGGCCATATTTTTGGCAATATTTTGTTGTTGTTTTTTTTTTTGGGTCGATTTTGAGCTGCGATTTGTTGTTGTTGTTGTTGTATTTCCTTGCAAACGCCTAACGGCTAACGATGAAAAGAAATATTGAAATTTGCGGCCAAATTGTTTTCAATTTAATCGACTTGGTTGCATTTTTCATGCTTAGCCGCCAAGGAGTGCAAATATAATTAATGATAATGAATTGTTATGGCCATCGAGCTGAGCTGGCCAACAGCTTCGCATTTCCCAAAACGCCCACCAACCAAAAAAAAAAAACGAGCCAAAAAAGAAACAAGCTAAATATTTGGCGGCAGGCAAATATCGTGCGACGTTCTTTTTTTTCGAAACCTTTTGAGAAATCATGTTTATGTTTTAGTTTTTGTGATTTTTCATTTGCAGAGTGGGAATAGGGAATTGGGGCTGAGATAGGGTTTGCAGTTGGGGCAGCAGAGAGTTGTGATTTATCACTCGACTGGCCACAGCGAAAGGTTGCCACAAAAATATGTGGCTAAACAAATGTTGACGCAGCCAATGAAGCTGTGTGGTAAAAGTTTGCCATCAGCGCATTTTTATTTATTTATTTTTTTTTTCGCCTTTATTATGCAAGTGATAATAAAATCAGTTAACAATTTTCATTTGTTGTCATTTGTCGAAAAAGCAACTAGTTTCCTCTCGCTTTTCCAATTGGTTTTCATATGGCGTTCGCACATTTTTGCATTTTTTGATTTGATTTTGATTTTGATTTGATTTTAACACGCATTTAAACTTTTATCATTGCAGAGTTTTTTTTTATTTGGCACAGAAAGTGAATTGAAAGGCTAACACAACATTCGGATTGGAGTCGAACAAAAACCACACTTTTGGCCACTTTTCACATTTGTTTTTGTTTTTGAGTTTTGAGGTGAGTGATTCGTAATTCACTTTTAATATTGCTCAAAGCTTAATGGTTTAATGATAGTAATGTATTTGAATTGTGCTCTCAGGCACAATGCATTTGACTTGACTTTGACAATAGATGTGTATTTAAGAGCGATCTCAAAGATCTTGACAAATGTGTATTGAGGTCAAGGTAACTGAAACTGGCTTAAGATTTAGATTAAGGCAAGTTAGTTGAAGTATAAGCTTGGTTTAAATTAAGCAAGACGGTATAAAACTTAAATAATTTAAGGGAAGTTATGTTGTTGGCTTGTAACTTTTGTAAGTCAGTCAATTAATATAGATGACGAGTCTTACCAAAAATGATCCAAGCAATGCAAAGTTTTGAAAGTTTGAAGTTGGGGAAGACAATAAAAGTCTGAGCTTAGAGTTAGAATCTGAATCTCACATAATATTGGTATGAGCTATGTTTACGAATGCATAGTGGTTATAATCAGATTAAAACCCATGTAGTATTAGTTACTCAGCTCTCTCTCTCTCTCTCTGCCTCCATAAATAAAAGTCAACGAGTGCTTTGATCTATTATAATTAGCTTGCCCAGCTACAAACACAATTTATTATTTCGACTTTCAAAACCCAAAAATATATCATTCCCAAATTCCTGCAGAAAATGAGTCGAGTCTCATGGCTGCTTTGGCCTAATCAGCTTTGACTTTGTTGTGTGTGTTTTTTGTTGTGTATTTCATAATTTATGCTCGCTGGGTGCTGCATAGAAACCGCTAATTTGGTAGCTTGTTGCTTTTGTCGGACTTAGTTCGAGGAGTTATTTACAGCCTCGCCACCTGTCGTCGGCTCGTAACAAACGACTTCCCTTTGGAGTGGGCGATTTGTGGGCGTGGCCGATGCCAATTTGAGTAGCTAGTTGGGGACTGCATTTTTTGTAGTTTTTTGTTAGTCGACTTTGTAAATAGGCGCAGAACAAATGGAAACTTGTTCGAGAGACACGAAAACACGACACATTTATCATTTTGTGTGTGGAAAATGTTTATAAGTTGTAGACAAATTTACTGGTCAAAAGAAAAACTTGTCGATTAGCGAGTCGATTTTTCCGGGTGAGTGGAGAGGGGAGTTGAGTGGGTTGTTGGTTAGTCGATAACTGCAGTCAGGTGTGTGTGTGTGTCTCTGTGTGTATTTGTTGTTTGCATGTTCAACATTTGTCCACACTGGTCGATAACTTTCGTTTTTCGTTGTGCTTGGCGCTTGTGGTCCATTTGCAATTCTCTAATTGCTCGCCGCGGCACCACCTGAAAAGTCGCCTTTGTGTCTGTGTCTGTGTCAATCCCAACCCGCCTCCAACTCGGCCTCTATGTCTATGTGCACCTCAGCTCCACTCTTGCCATTTTGACCAAGTGGCGTTTCTTGTTCGGTTTGGGTTCGGCGTCTGTGGTGTTCCATGTCGCCACATGTAACAGTTGCAGTCGGCCGCCTTTTTGTGCCCACCTTTCCACCTTGCCACCTTTTGGGTGCAAATATTTTTTTAGCGCAGTGTTGTGTGCCCCCCTTTTGCCTTTTCATGTTGCATATCTCACTTGTGGCAGCAGCAACAACTGTGGCAAAAGGAATTCGCAATGTTTGTATTTTTAGTTGACATTTTCCACATGTTTTTCGCTTGTTTTTCTTACTTTGACTTGACGCAGTTTTCGAGTGCAATAAATTAAATTATGACTGTAGGAATTTGTCAATTTTTAGAGCAATGTAAGATAAATGTATGAAAATGTTACAGTTTATGATTAGAAAAAGGCAAAATAAGCAATTAATTAAATAACACACTTTTGCCATTCATTTTATGGGAAACTTTAGCGAAGAAATCTATTATAATAGAGAAACATTAAAATTGAGTTTACTTATACTTAGTTTATTAAATTATATTAAGAAAGCTCAGAATTAGCGTACAAATACCTTCGACTCTATCGCTATTCTATGCATTCCGCTAAATTCTAGATTTTGTGGAACAAATTGTAAGATAGTAGTTATTATATCCCGTCTGCGAAGCAGGGATTGTTGCATTTTGGTTCCAGTTTCGATTGCATAGATTGAACTTTAAATAAGAAGCTTACACTTAGCGTAGAGTATCTAGTAAAGACAAACGACAAGTTCTAATAGTTCATAAAGATGTCCATGAAGTCAACTTGCCTGCTAACAAAAAACAGCATCCTTCGCCTCAATCTGGATGCTGACCAAAAAAAAAAAAAAAAACAATATTGCTCAAGCGACCGCAAATGGCAACAAATTAACAATTCATTGTCTTTGATGGTAACTTCCCTCTTTCAGCTCCTACCCACAACCACAACAACAGTGTTGTATTGCTCTGGTTATCTAGGTGGGCCGCAAGTTGTCGTTGTCGTCGTTGTCGTTGTCGCTGTGGCTGTTGTTTTGTGGTTGAGGTTGACATGCCGCTTGAACCCAATAAAATCCAGTTCTGCGCCCCTCGGAGGGAGGCTGTGCAAAAGGTTTTTTGATTGGCCTGCATTTTGCATCGTGTTTTGTGGCAGTTGCAGTTGTTGCTGTTATTGCATTTTACAAGTCAATATGGATATTGTTATTGTCACATTGGCGAATTGCCCGCAATTTGGCCATTCGGCAAGCAAACGGCAAGCAAAGACACAACTGCAAAAATTGCAACTGCGGCAACTGTGGCAACTGTGGCAACTGAGGCAACTGTGGCAACTGCCTCACGTGTGCCCAACTTCTGCTGGCCAACATGTGGCACTGTCCAAGTAGTTAACAATTCATTAAGTGTTGCATTGCCTGCTGTTGTTGTTGTTGTTGCTGCTGCTTGCAACCGGCTAACAATTTATGGCAGGTTAGCTGCCTGGCTTGACTCAGTTGGTCAATGTGAAAACATGGCTTAAACTGCAGCGTCCGTCCACGATTCTTGGAAGAATTCACTCGCAGATCGCCCGATAATAATTTATGCAATATTTTACAGATACTTTTCGAACGGCTGTCTGGTTCTGGAATGTTGTCGTCTGTCTTAAATTGAAGTCAGCTGTTGCCGAAGCCCTCTTTGTCTACTTGTCTACATCGTTTAGTTGTTGTTCAAAATATGCCATGACTCATGACATGATTTATAGCCTTGTTGCAGTACTGTGTTATTATTATGTCACACGGTAAGGTAAGCTTTTCGTGACCTTATAGAGTATGTGTTCTACCAGAATAATAACAAGTATTTTCTTTTGACTCATACTTTTGTAATCTAGTCTCTCAGACAGTTGGAATATCTATGAAGTTAGTTAGAAACCTTACGAATTTAATTGTTTGCATATTTTCATGGAATTTTAAACAATACTTTTAATACTACTCCAACTATTTAAAAGCTTAGTAAATGCTCCATTTAAGGGTAAAGGTTACCATATTTATCTATTTGGTTCTGCTGCTTTACTTCCTGATAAATAGCTATTGAACAAATCTTGAACTTCGCTCTGAAATTCAAACGTTAAAATTGCGATTTAAGTTCCGCTCATTGTCATTTTTAGTTACTTACGACTGATGATTAAATCCAAGATAAGTTTGAAGTTGAAAAATACTATAAATGCATATAAATTTATAGTATTTTTAACTATTATTGGTTTTGCACACTCGAGTTTCGTTTGGAATTGATTGAAATGCGATGGCAATTTAAGCGTTTTTGGTTATCAATTCGCATGTGGGTCTTATCTAATCTTATCTTAACTAGACTCGAGTGCGCAAAGGTCGTAAAATAAAAGGCCAGTCGATTCAATTAGGCCACACACAATGGCCTTCAATTATGTGGCGTCTATTTGCCTTAATTTGGCGTGAGAACATTCCTATGGAAAGAAGCACCAGTCTGTTCCACAAACATAGCTCAACATCCGGTGGCATTAATGCAAACATTGGATAATATAAAAAAAAGCAAGATCAAAGATCTTTCGGAAAAAAAGAAAATAATTAAAGAAAACGAAAGTTTGTTTTCATTTTCATTCAATTTGTTTGCGCATGTTTTGAGTTCTATTGTGTATTAGTTTTCTCTAAACTTTTGAAATCTTTTGCCTTTGCAGTTTTACGAGCATTATCATTGTGCATTGGAGTGGTTAAAGATAAAAAGCAACCACAAAATACCCCCTTTTAAAGTTTTTTTTTCTTTCAGCTTACTTCATACTTTTTGTTGCGTGTGCTATTTGTGTTTGTTGTTGTTGTTGGTTGTTGTCATTGGCTTGGTTTTTGTCTGGCCAAATATTTGGTGTCAGTTGTTTGGTCTTCTTCTTCTCGCTCTATAGCTTAATTTTTGGTGTATTTTGCTTTTGGTTGTGCGTGTGTGTGTGTGTGTTTTGTGCTGTGGACATTTATTTATCTTTATGGAACATGTTTGGGGGGCCGAAAAACTTTTCCTGGAATTAAGTCGCTTATTACGGCATCTTTTTTAGTCAACCCTAGCCTTAGTGTTCAGCGTCTGCTTATGTAATGCACAGCAGAGCAGACCAGACAGGTGACTGACGACCCCTTTGCCTGCCACATTTTGTGGCACTCACAAATGGTGAATGGGCTTCATTTTGATTTATGACTTTTATGGGCGAAAGGTTAAAGCACTTTTTGATTTACCTCTCAATTTGCTTAAAGCTTAACTCACTTAAAATTTGCATATTTTTTTGGTTTACGTGTTTTTTGTCGTTGCTTTTTTTTGTCATCACATTTTCGATAATCTATGTTTAAATAAATCATTTACAGTTTGATTGATTTCGGTTTTATGGCTTTGGAAATCATAGCATTTTCAACTCCAATGACTTAATTCGACTTATTTTTTGAGTATATCTTTAACACGGCCCCCTCACTTCGTACAAACACTTTTTGAGGTTTTCAATTTAACATGATAATCAAGCCAACTTTATTAGATAGAAATTTGGCCACTGCTTCGCAAAGTTCCTCCAAGTACAGATCTGATAAGCATGCTCATAGCTTATAGTATATTCTTTACTTAAGTCTCCAATTGGTTATATATTATTAGTT